TAATAATAAGTTTAATGACCTTATTAATTTAAAACAAAAAATCAAAAACTTGAAAATATACCAGATACGTCCTTATCCATAATGTATTGGAATGGACCACTCAGAGTATCCTCGAAATTTTTTCTTAGTTCAGTATTACCTTGACAATTAAATCTAGATGGGTATAATTAGCTGAATAATAAATATCAATTTTTGAAAATTTTTCTAAAAGCATAAAACATTTTTGATATGATTAACCAAAAAATTGAAATTATTAATCAAAAAAACTAATATACCTAATCAATGCTCCAATTGATTCAAAAACATAATAATTGAAACGAGGATTACTCGGATTTTTACTAATTTGTCCTAAAATAGCAATTAAGTGACTCATAATATCTCCAACATAAGGTAAAATATCCTCACGACTAGTGAAAATAACTCTCATTACAGCTAAAATAAAAAATCAGCCTCCATTATTAACAAAAGAAATAAATTTACAACAAAATTTTAAAAATATAGATATACCTTTCATGAGATAATCATTTTCCGCTAATGTTTGAGGTGTTGTTCCTGACTCGATTAATCTGAATAAACTAATTAAAAGTTCTTGAGTATATGGCTTAATATCTGCCCTACTAAATCTTTAATGGGTTTTGTAAGTTGTTGTATCAGTAATTTTACATTATTAATTGAACAAATAAAAAAAAGCACACATACAACATTGCATTATCTTTGCGCATTGTTAACATTTTATCAATAGTTATTGCAGCATAAGTATGAACTACATAATTGGAAGATGAAACATGTTTGACTAATAATGGGAAAACACTAGTTAGTTGTGATTTATTCATCTACATATATATTTATATAAAAAAATAATAAAGCATTAATCATAAGTTTGCATAACAATAACAATAATAATGTCTATTTTAAAGCAAAAGAGAAGAATTACCTGATTTCTGAAAGTGTATATGTATTTAATTGCATCGACCTTCAAAACTGGTTCCCCACTATCAACAACAGTTTGTAGATCTGGTAAGACATTTGCAGAGAACCATTCAACAACGTCTACTAAATCATTTACTACCGTGAGACCATACTTGTAATTTAATTTGAATAATCTGATTATCTCTTTTGCAAACAATAAAGCTTCGTTAAGTTCAACTGATAATTGAATAGTATAACTTACTTTTGTAGTAGTTCCAGGAGTGGCAATCGAAGTTAAAAGGTAAATTGCTACATCTTTGTCTTTCCAATTTTTTTGATTTTCATTATAACGCTAATGATAAAAAACCAAATTTTGTTTTTTTTTTATTCCTTGCTGCCATTAATTTTATATATGTATAAATTATAATACCTTTAGGAATTCTGCAATATAAACTCCAATAACTCTTGTTATATTGTGCAAATACTGTGACATCAAGCTGCGCACAAAGTCTGTTGCAGCCCTTCTACGAGTATCACTATCTAATAAAAAGATAGATAGAAAGTAAATAAAAAGTTCTTCAAGTGATTCTTAAAAAAAGTTTCGCAGTACCTGATCCTTCCAAATCCCTTCTGATATATTCAATAGGATCAAATTCGAATAACTCCTCGTCAACAACTATATTTTAAATTGATATATGTATAAATATAAATTTATTATAATTAATAATACTCGATTAAAAATAATTTTATTTTCTTTTAAAGGAAATATTCCTGGGCTAGTTAAATTATTACAAACATATCTTTATCGATATTCAAATATAATAATTTCAAACGGACAACTTGAGCCAATTTTAGGCATCTTTCATAAATTAATTGCAAATAAGAAACGTGATAAATATGGATTAGATTTATTAAGCTCAGTCATTCGAAACGTACCTACGTAAGTCCCTCTAATAACATTTTATGTTGATTGAAAATATATGAATTTTATTTTTACATTAATTTAACAAAAACAATGTTTTTTTAATAAATTATATTAGAGCTGCATTAAATCAATATATTGGTCCAATATTAACGCTTCTATTATCAAGATTTCAAAGTAGTAAAACTGATTCATACACTATGGGATTCGTTTATTTTGTATGTTATTTTCTTGCTGTAGATAAGGAAGGGATGAATCCAGATTATGTAATCCAAGCATTTGATTCACTTCAAAATCAGTATGGTTTTTTTCTGGACGTATTTCTTTTGTTGATTTCAATTAAACAAAGGATAATTTTTTCTTAATTAACTATATATTACTTTTTTTTGGCAGACTTTTTATACAAGTCTTGAATGCCTTCATCATTCCTCATTTACAAAAAGTTCAAGGTTACATGGAACGTAAAATTTGCGCAGTGGGGATGACACGTCTTATAACACAAAGTAATATAATGTTAACAGATAAATATTTTAATGAATGGTAATATTTATTTTAATTCACATTTTGTTCTTATTTATTTTAAAGAAATATCACTCTAAAATAATTCCTTATTCCTAATTTTATTTATATATATATATATATATAGGCCTTCTGTTTTAGTTGCACTAATTAAACTTTTTGAAGCACCAACTGAAATTGAGAATTACAATGAAGACAATTACTTTTTGACAATTGATTTTGAAGAAGATATGCAATTCCAAACCTCGTATTCCAAATTAGCAACTACCAATAAACCAAAGGATGATCCTACAGAATCAATCAAAGATCCAAAAATCTTTTTAGCTCAATCCATTAAAAATTTGAATGATTTACATCCTGAAATGGTATGTATCTTTTTATTATGTAAATTTATTATATGATTTGTTATTATTATTTACCATTATCACAAATACCTTAATTGATGTTAGATATCTGAAACTATACAAAAAAGAATACCACCTGAGTATACGCATTACCTTTTTCAATACATGACATACTAATTATATATACTATACAAATACTATTAATCTTATATACCATATTCCTATTTCTCCTAAGCTTAAAATAGCTAAATTAAATTTAGAAAATTTTTTTCAGAGTCACACTAAGGCGGGCAAATAAATTCATTCGGGTTTGTTTGTATTTGATATCTGAACTAAATTTGGCCAAAACTTTGTACATAGTGTGAGGAGGATACCTGTTTTTTATTAAATGATTGTAACTATAATTGCTGTCGAAATTCCTGAATTACAACAATTTGCTATTATAAGCTGTAAATAAATTTGACATGACACCCTGAAGTCATAAAAGGCATAAACCCTAAAACCACAAAGCTATAATAGTAATTATAGAAATATACTCATAACTAAAAAACTATCAAGTAATTTTGCTATATCATCATGCGCAGCACCTTTTGGCATGCCTCAAATGCCTAGCTATCTTGTGAATGTTTCCAGCAATAAATCAAAACTTTTCCGTAGCTTTTTCCTCTCTGCAAAAAGCTATCAAAAGGAAAGTGTGAATATGAAGACATTATTAGTTTGTTAGTAAATTGATTCAAAAAGTCTGGCTCATGCTTAGAACTATACATGCAGCCCAAATTGGTTTGGTAATTTCAATGGTCAAAATTATTCCAATTTTGATTAAGGTTTCTGGCCAAAACTCTCTTTATTAGTAGCCAAAATTGCCAAAACACTTTGGGCAAAAATAATTTTTTAAGCCCAAACTATTTTTTGTTATTAGCCGAAATTGGGCGAAATTACTTTAAAGTTGCTTAAGTTAAAATAAGTTGATTGATATAGTTTTTTAATGTTCATGCTTATAAAAAATGCTGAGAAGCCCAAATTGCCCAAACTAGTTTGGACCAGAAACCTTAATTTTGATGGTATATAGAAAGTAGAAATTAATTACAACACTCACTATTAAAAACATAAGTGTAACATCCCTTTATGACAGCATCAAAATACTTTGGGCTGCATGTATACTTAGAACCAAATTACAGCATAGATAAGGAAGGAGGGGATCAAATAAATGGCATCTATGGCTCTCAAGCCTACCTTATTTGTAAAAAAAAGCATTGATATCTAAATGGCAAATGGTGGATTGATAGTTAAGGCAGTAAATATTATTTGATTTGTAATTATATTAAAAATCTGGGAATCTATCTCCCTTAATGAGTTATTAGAAGTGTATTCTGAAAATACAGTCCTATCCCTTGGAATTATCTCTTAAATTTTCAGATAAATGCATAGCAGTAGAGGTGTAAATAAAGTTATCAGTAAAAATCCATTGATCATGCTACAGGTAAGGAAATATGTTCAGAGGGAGCCTCAGATAACAAATTATAAATAAATTTTACTTTATTTAATCTGCAATTATGATTTGCTATCTTTCATGCAAGTGTTGTGCAATTGGAATATTGGAATGTTCCAATGTGGCACCAATATGGTTTCAATGTAGATCTTCAATTGATATTGACCAATAAAATTTGTGTGAGACACACTAATTGAATTTCATTGGTTAACTTCATTGGAACCACATTTGGAACATTCTAATTCCAATTAGAATTTGTTGGAATGTTCCAATGAAAATTTATTGGAACCATAAATGGTACAACACTGTTGTCACATGTCACAAAAATTTATAAAAACACTGCACAGTATGTGTCTTGTTTTTGTAAATTACTACCACACTACAGTACAATGGAGTGTCAACTTACAGAATATCAATATATTTACCAGCATTTAACAGATAATACATTAGTTTTAAAATTTTCTATTTGTATTTCAGTTACATTTCTTTATAAATGCACTTCAGAAAACATTAGTCATTACATGACAGTGTCAAAATACTTTGAGCCACATGTATAACCATGAAGCTGAAAAGCAAAAACAATTATGAGGACTGCTTAAGGGTTCTTGAAAATGTCTGCAATACAAGCACTTCCATTGCCAGAGGAAGCAAAGAAGAACATTGGTGATCTTGAATTTTTTTGGAATAAGAAGAATTGGAAATCATTTTCAGTTTTGAGGTAGTTTTCAAGTTTCAAGATATCTCATGTGCTCATGTCTGTTAAGAGAATTTCATCTACCATCATTTGAGGAATAAAGTGTAGTGGCATTCAAGACTTGTATAAAAAGTCTGCCAAAAAAAAGTAATATATAGTTAATTAAGAAAAAATTATCCTTTGTTTAATTGAAATCAACAAAAGAAATACGTCCAGAAAAAAACCATACTGATTTTGAAGTGAATCAAATGCTTGGATTACATAATCTGGATTCATCCCTTCCTTATCTACAGCAAGAAAATAACATACAAAATAAACGAATCCCATAGTGTATGAATCAGTTTTACTACTTTGAAATCTTGATAATAGAAGCGTTAATATTGGACCAATATATTGATTTAATGCAGCTCTAATATAATTTATTAAAAAAACATTGTTTTTGTTAAATTAATGTAAAAATAAAATTCATATATTTTCAATCAACATAAAATGTTATTAGAGGGACTTACGTAGGTACGTTTCGAATGACTGAGCTTAATAAATCTAATCCATATTTATCACGTTTCTTATTTGCAATTAATTTATGAAAGATGCCTAAAATTGGCTCAAGTTGTCCGTTTGAAATTATTATATTTGAATATCGATAAAGATATGTTTGTAATAATTTAACTAGCCCAGGAATATTTCCTTTAAAAGAAAATAAAATTATTTTTAATCGAGTATTATTTATTAATATAAAATTATATATTGATATTAATTACCAGCAGATTCCCAAACAACATGATTCAACAATTGTGGCAACAAATCTCTGTAGAAATCAGGAATCTGAGGTTCATTATGTAATTCAAGAAGTTGTGAAAAGATTTGAAAAGCGTATGGAATAAATTCTAAAATTCAAATAGTAATAATAATAAGTTTAATGACCTTATTAATTTAAAACAAAAAATCAAAAACTTGAAAATATACCAGATACGTCCTTATCCATAATGTATTGGAATGGACCACTCAGAGTATCCTCGAAATTTTTTCTTAGTTCAGTATTACCTTGACAATTAAATCTAGATGGGTATAATTAGCTGAATAATAAATATCAATTTTTGAAAATTTTTCTAAAAGCATAAAACATTTTTGATATGATTAACCAAAAAATTGAAATTATTAATCAAAAAAACTAATATACCTAATCAATGCTCCAATTGATTCAAAAACATAATAATTGAAACGAGGATTACTCGGATTTTTACTAATTTGTCCTAAAATAGCAATTAAGTGACTCATAATATCTCCAACATAAGGTAAAATATCCTCACGACTAGTGAAAATAACTCTCATTACAGCTAAAATAAAAAATCAGCCTCCATTATTAACAAAAGAAATAAATTTACAACAAAATTTTAAAAATATAGATATACCTTTCATGAGATAATCATTTTCCGCTAATGTTTGAGGTGTTGTTCCTGACTCGATTAATCTGAATAAACTAATTAAAAGTTCTTGAGTATATGGCTTAATATCTGCCCTACTAAATCTTTAATGGGTTTTGTAAGTTGTTGTATCAGTAATTTTACATTATTAATTGAACAAATAAAAAAAAGCACACATACAACATTGCATTATCTTTGCGCATTGTTAACATTTTATCAATAGTTATTGCAGCATAAGTATGAACTACATAATTGGAAGATGAAACATGTTTGACTAATAATGGGAAAACACTAGTTAGTTGTGATTTATTCATCTACATATATATTTATATAAAAAAATAATAAAGCATTAATCATAAGTTTGCATAACAATAACAATAATAATGTCTATTTTAAAGCAAAAGAGAAGAATTACCTGATTTCTGAAAGTGTATATGTATTTAATTGCATCGACCTTCAAAACTGGTTCCCCACTATCAACAACAGTTTGTAGATCTGGTAAGACATTTGCAGAGAACCATTCAACAACGTCTACTAAATCATTTACTACCGTGAGACCATACTTGTAATTTAATTTGAATAATCTGATTATCTCTTTTGCAAACAATAAAGCTTCGTTAAGTTCAACTGATAATTGAATAGTATAACTTACTTTTGTAGTAGTTCCAGGAGTGGCAATCGAAGTTAAAAGGTAAATTGCTACATCTTTGTCTTTCCAATTTTTTTGATTTTCATTATAACGCTAATGATAAAAAACCAAATTTTGTTTTTTTTTTATTCCTTGCTGCCATTAATTTTATATATGTATAAATTATAATACCTTTAGGAATTCTGCAATATAAACTCCAATAACTCTTGTTATATTGTGCAAATACTGTGACATCAAGCTGCGCACAAAGTCTGTTGCAGCCCTTCTACGAGTATCACTATCTAATAAAAAGATAGATAGAAAGTAAATAAAAAGTTCTTCAAGTGATTCTTAAAAAAAGTTTCGCAGTACCTGATCCTTCCAAATCCCTTCTGATATATTCAATAGGATCAAATTCGAATAACTCCTCGTCAACAACTATATTTTAAATTGATATATGTATAAATATAAATTTATTATAATTAATAAATAAT